GGCGGGGAGAAAGGGGGGGGGGGGCGCCCCCCCGACCCCCGCGGGCCTAGGGCAACCTGCAAAAAATCCTCACCTTTAGCGGGAATAAGAGTTTTCTTAACAGAAACACTTATTGCTATATTGCACCCTGTATTGCTTCTGAGGGAAGCTCTGCTCTCATTTAGACCGCTGTACCCGAGCGAGGTAGGGAGTGATGTTATGAGGGGCCATGGGGCAAGAAGCTGCCTGGAGTGGAGAGGAAACACCCAGAGCAACATGGCCCATCCCCTGTAGCTGAACCCAGCACTGAGCCGTCCGGTCCACGACGTGTAGGCAGGTGAGGAGAGAGGAGAGCAGCGCTAGTATTGCACCCTGCCAGGGCCAGGCCTCAGTCAGGGCCCTGCTGCGATGCTCCAGCTGTCTGGAGGCCAGAGCAACATTTTCTTACAAGGAGAGTCACCTACATCTCCCCTGGTGTCTATGGGCCAGAGTGTTCCCATCAGCAGCTCCAGCCCCACAGCTGCCTCCCTCTTACGGAATTCAGTAATAGCTAGATGATAGGCAAGAGTGAAAGCACATTCTCCCCCATAAACAAATGCAGTGTTAATAGGCTGGAAAAATGGAAAAAAAAACCCAAAACCAAACAAAACCAAAACAAACCCAAACCTATAAACACTGTCCACTGGTGCTTAGGACACAGAAGAAGGAAAGCTGTGTTTGAATCAGGACTGCAAGACAGACTGACCCCTTTCTAGCCTTTCCCACCATTTGCTAGCAGGAGCCTTCTTGAAGAGGACCCTGCTCCTGGACTGGCTCATGCTTCCCAAACAGAAGCTTTCACCACCCTTGCATTGTACAGAAGGCCCACGACCATCTGTGGTTCATGACACTTTGTGTTAGAAACACGTGTTTTGAACTGGCCCTCGCAGGCAGGTAGGCAAGAGCGGGAAGTTTCTTGATCTTAATAGCTCCATTGCTTAGAGAGGCAAAACAAGGGTAGCTCGGCTTTGAGCAAGTTTAGCCAGCTGCTGCACAGGGGCTCTCTGAACTGCAAGAGGGCTGGCCTGCTGCAGATTGATGTCCTCTGTTCTGTAATCCCTTCATCACAACCAGCCCCTTCACGCCCTTAGTCAAGAAGCACGAGTGCTGACCAGGGGCAGCTGCATACTCAAACATCTCAACTTTGACAGTCTTTCCTGCCTCAATTGTTCAGATAACTGATTCACAAGAACCTCAGCTGTCTCAAAAATCCTTACCCCTCTTCAGATTTTAAATAAAACTGGCCAACAGGCCTAAAAGCCACATTAGTTAAAAAAGAAAAAACCTAAGAGGTTTTTCTTTAACAAGCAGAAGAGCAGACATCTCAGTTGCTTAGTAAATGTCACCTGCTTCAGATGCTTTACCCACATCATGGACAACACTTAGTTGGTACTGTATCTGTCCAACTGTGATTTAGGAATACTCTCCAAACACCTATTTGTTGAACTTCTTGGGAGAAAATTTTACTTAAAAAGTAAAAAAAACCCAAACCCATCACAACTAAGTTTCTGTGCAAGTTTGTGACATGCAACCCTTCTGAAGAATTCTTTCTGCTATTTACAGGTACAAACAATGAATTGAGGAAAATTGAGGAAATGAGGAAGAAGGAGCAGAAAACCTGAACATATACCTATCCCAACTGCAAGGAATCAAAGATATGCTGATGATTAACGGAGATGCAATTAAAAAGACTTAGAATGATCACACTTTTAAAGCCAGTCAGCAAGTCTCCCTGCAGCAGAAGAGGACAGAAAGATTCTGCAGGAAGCAATACTGAGAACAGCTGTGAAATCATGTTTTCTGATCTTCACTGTCAAGTAAGAGGCCAGAATATACCAGCTGGGCTCTGCAGTGCTGGGGACACACTTTGCATCTGCTGAAATCTAATTTTCTTAGAATCTGGATCTGATTCAGAGCTTTGCATTTTCAGTCCTTTGGGGTTCTTTTTCCATTGCCATCCTTTCCCAACAACTCCAGGACTCAAAATCACCATACAGAAAAATAGAACAATGACCTCAAAGGGTCAACGTACAAGGGGTGCTGCAAAGGTATTTCAGGGAGATGGAACAGAAATTCCAAACATCTAGAAAGAGAAGAGAGGAACTGTATTAGAAAGTGATTGCATCCTAAGCAGGCAAAGAAACATGATGCAGGATCAACTGGAAGAACTCCAAAAACCCTTCTGTAAAGCAAAAACCCCAATGGAGATGAAGCAGCTGAAAGTACAAAGTTTAACATCTTTACTATAATTCAGTTGTTTATAAAACTATTTTCTTGACAATAAGGAAAATGACTATGCAGTGGTTTCACTGGATTTCAACATAACCCATTGCACAGGAAGAAAAAAGGATGACACCTGTACCCCAAAGAAACAATTTTAAAATTTTTTCAGTTTGGTTTTTTTTTTAATAAATGTGCTTTGTTCACAAAAAGTAGTGACATAAAGACAACAGAAATGCAAATATACATTTTTTTTCCTTTTCTTCTCCAGCACCTTAACAACAGATCTCTTGCACAGTCATAATTTTCAAACATTTCATAACCTAGAAACATTCTTCTTGCACCAAAGTCAAATATCCAACAACTCCTGATATCACCACTTTATTGTTCAGGGAGGTATAAGTATTTGTGTAAATTTCCTCCTCCACCACAATCTACTGTCCCTTGAAAAACAAAACAACAAAAAATCCAACCCTCCCCCCCCAAAAGACCCCTAAACAAACAAAAAACCACTTCAGGTATTTAGAATGAGCAGCAAAAACCCCAAGCCTTTATGAATCTCAGCTCCCTAAACCACAAATACAATGGTGTCACCAACATGCCAAGGTTTAAATTTTAAATGTTAATATTTTAAACTTTTTGGGGGGGATAAATCTTGGTCTGAATTGCCTTTTTGTATGAATCACAAACTAATTTACATTAACCTATACCAACATGTATGTTAGCTGGTTAGGTACACTTTGAAGTATGCCCAGATTAAGTTTCCATAAAGAGCTGAATTTATAGCACCAATATTTTAGCTCTAACATGAGCACTGCTGGAGTCAGTGGTTAACTGGGAAGGTGAAAGGCTCTGACTAACAAACATTTTACGGAACGTGAAGTGGTAAAGCATTAGATGCAAATACTGACTTAGAGCCAATTTTGAAGCCATTGTGTATTTAATTAGAGAAGTATTCTCTGTAAAAAAAAAATTAAAAAGTCAACCATGATACTTGTATGTCTAAGCTTTTTTTTTTTTTTAACATATCAGAATATAATTGTTTGGTTTGTATAACTATATCATTCAGATTGAATAACAAATTTGAATCAGGTATTAGGGGATGCTTTATATTTAAGAAGAGAGACACAAAAAGCTTACGTTAAAGAATAAAGCATTGCAGTCCAGATCATGTTTGAGTGTAAGCTGGACCAATGTGGGATGACTATGTAGGAGACAGTATAAAAGAAAAACAGGTAGGTCAAACTGCGACACTTTCAGTGCAAAACTTCCATGGAAGGAGTAAGTTTCATTTTTGTAGCAATTGCTGTAAAATGCACGCTACAACTTCAGTTTATCTGGTAACTTCTGTATTATAAATACAACATGGTAGGTTAATATGGTGTAAGGTATATTTCATCACAACCACCTGTGAAACTATATATTAGTCTTTTCTACTGTTTTGCTGAAGTCAGTCTTAAAACCATGATGTGGCACCTAGTTCAAATCAGTTATTATTAGGCACTTACATATAGATTTAACAGCCTAACATTCATATTTGAAAATTCTGGCCATTATTCTTAAATGGAGGGAAATCTAAGCTAAACTAATTCTGAATCCTCTATGTTTACCACTGAACAGAATTGGTTTTTTTCCTGCAAAAACTCACAAATTTATTACACAAGTTAAAAAACTGAATAGATGTAAAACACTTCTGTTCCATCTCCTTACAGTGCAGACTAGTTTTCAGACAGCTATGGAGTTTTTATTTAACTAAACAGAAGATTTTGGGGTCCAAATAAGTAGACAAATAGTGTATGTTAACATCACTTGTGTGGTCTGAATACACTGCCTTGTGCAAGTATGTGTATCCTTGAGAAACCTGTATAATTATGTTCCTTTTTACAAAATCTGTCTGTAGTTACCGTGTAACTTGGGAGGTCTACAAATAAGGACAAATAAAGAGTTATTTGTTTTTAAAATGCATAAATAATTTACTTTAAAACATGACAAAATGAACCCTGTCCCCCCAAAAAACACAGTTTGAAGAGAATACAGAACACCATCATCGGGGAAATACTGATATATGTTAGTGCTTGTACACTCATAAAATTGCAAAACCATGTTCCAGCTTTGAAGTGAAACATAATTGTCTCAACGTACCATACTCCTCAGGGTGGGGGGAGATAACCTCTTCAGAAATCTCATGTCTAACTACTATTTATGCAATGAAATTACACAGTATGTTTAACTATGGATGAATTTATTCCAGTGTTTTGGTGTTATCTCGATTTGGTGTTATCTCAAGAGGGCTGCAATAAACATAAAATCAAATGTGCAAGCATTATAGTTTCTCCAGCCCAGGTTTAACCAGAATGAAACAAATTTTGGAAAAAAGTTTTGTTCCATAATTAAGAAGGGACATGGGTAACCAAGTGTCTTAACCTATCTGCACATTAATTAAAGTGCGAATTATTTCTTCCTACATATACTTCTCAGAAGCCCACCAACTCCAGTGCCTTAAGCTCAACCACATTGAGTTAAAATACTGAAACAACATTTAGCAAATTAAATAGAATTCACACTTCACAGCACTAAAGAAAAGAATGGTACCTTTCCGGAAAAAAAAAAATTAGTGATACAAATCTAAAGAAAGTAACAGCAATTTATGCTATGACATGAGTCATTTGCATAAAACTTGTACTTTTTCACTTTCATATAAGAATAAATTTTAAAATTCAAAAGTAGAAAAAAATAGCAAACTCTGTAAACCTTTGCATTTTCTTTATGCAAACCATTTGTGTGTGTTGAGCCCGTGTTAGTATAGCAAAATTAGTTAAGCAAGAGGTTTGACTGAAAGGGCATTTCAATGACTACATTAACTTAGAAGCAATATAGGATCTTCTAGCTCATAGAAAGGAATTGAACTAGACTGGCTTTCTCCAGAGTCTGAGTCATAAGGAGCATCAGGTAGCTCCATAAAACCATACGCTAGCTGTTCATCTTCTGTATCTGATCGAACATAGCAGGAAGTGTTGGAATACTCCTCATCCTCTATACTGTTGAAATCCTGTGGGATGTACAACATTCCTGGGTAGTTCCTGCTCACTAAGTCACTTGTTGTTTGCAGGGAAGTTTTCCTAAATGCCATCAGGTGCATGTGAGAAAACTTGGAATACTTGAAGCGTTTAAAACCCAAGGACTCTATGGCAATTTTCCAGCTTTTCATCATCACAGCCCGGCGATTCTGATGAGATGAATCAGGAGTTATTACAAGTAATAAGCCATTTAATACGAGAAGTTCATGTGCCTTCTTGCAGCATATCCATCGCTGATAGGGTGATGGGAAGTAAGAAAGGAGGAGTGAGAAAACAACAACATGGAACAGTTCTGCAGGTAGAGAATCAATGGGGTTTTTCAGTTGCTTAAGAAAGGCATCTATAGCATCTTGTGCAAGTTGGAGAGGTTGCTGAATTTGAAGATTTAAGAAGTCACATTTGTATACGCTCTGGTGGAATAAGAAAAAACAGAAAACCAAACATCAAGGTTAGTTTAAAGAGCAAATACAATCCAAACCCCCAGGAAATCAATGATAACCTCTCCAAAACAAAAATTACTATTAATGTCTAGAGAATGTGTAGTGCACACTCTAAACAGGTAAGTGACCGTGAAAGCAGAGACAAAATATTCTGTGGAGCACATCTGAAGGTGGAGTTAGATCCGTTGCATTTTCATGCCACGAAAATATTTAGAGCATGTTTTATGAAACAATATTCAAAAGAGAGATCACTAGAACACAATTGTAAAAGTATTCATAAAGCACAATTGTTTCCAAGTAGCAAAAAAATGTTATTTCTATTTATATAATATCACATTCTCTTCTGAGAGGATGCAGTAAATTAGAAAAAATAATCATTGTTCAAAAAAATCCTGTAATTTATTTTTCAGTAGCTTTAATCTTGGCCTCCAATATGAAAAAAAAAAAAAGAGACTTGCATTATGTGTCTATAATCAAGAAATTTTAATTGCAGCCATTATACCTGCAGGGCTATATTCTACTTCCTTGTAATATTTAGAACAGGAAATCAGCAGTAGTAATTTCATGATATCCTCTAATAAGTTTTAACAGAAAGAAGTGCTTTGAAGAATAATTGTTCAGAGTAACATACTAACTTTATTAGAAGCAAGACTTAAAAAGTTAGAGGTTATACATACACAGTTAAAAAAAAAAACAATTTAGACTGCAAGTATTTCTTGGTAGTGGAAAAATACTCATGAAACAGTTATGTAGAAATAATGCTAAAGAATTTCAGGACTAAAGTACATTTTGAGTGGATTCAGAACTCTGCAGGCAGTTTTAGGACAAAAATGCTGTTAAACTGGAGATTGCTACTAAACGCTAGATATACAAGTTGAACTGACATTAAAATCCTTCTAGACACTGAAACAGTCATATTTCAGTGCATCCACTGACATTTAAGAACACAATCATACTTGTATATTCTAATTTTTAATTCCAGTACCCTTCCAGCCTCTTTTTTGTCTCAGATTATATTTACTTCAATACAACATCTGCTGCATATTCAGCATGTTTCCCAGAAGCATGAAACTGTATTTGGATTTTCCCAAAGTGGAGATTCTTACCTTACACCAAGACACCGAAAATGATGAGTGAACAATGCCTAGCTAAAGAGAATACTGATCTTTTCTTGGTGCAGCTCCCCCGCCCCATCTCAAAACACAAAACCTTTTAATGGAAATATATTTCCATATTCATCTCTCTACAGTTTACACATTCTCTCTATATGAAATAGATTCTACACAATTTAAAGAGATTAATTCTTTTATTACATAACATTTCAGTTCCTCTCCTAATTTTTCCACAATTACATCCTTCTTATTCCTCAAATTAGCTGAAGTATTTTACTCAACTCTTTAGTCTATATCCAAAGCATTTCTGTATGCAGAAAGTGGATTAATCTATTTTTATTAAATAAGGAATTATTTAACCCTCTATTCAACATTATTCAAGAAACTGACTTCCTAAGAAGCCTCTATGCTTCAGTGTGTTTTGAAAATATTTTGGTATCTTACCTAAAAGATCTGCTAAATCAGAAGACTTTACCAGTTCTTCTATTTTCAGCTTCTACCACTAAGTTATCAGATCAAATTTTGAGGTCAGAAGATGACATTAACTACCATAAGAACTCTCTGGCTGTTATTCTGAAGTCTTAAATCAGCCCAGGCAACTGCTGGCCTAAAGATAAATTTATTCAGGAGGTTATGGTGCTGATGCAGCTCAAAGTAGAGTCATCTTGAATATGTCAGGGCTTATTAATTCTGGTTTGGAGGTGGGCCTAAGCTTATTCCAGCAGATGCGTTTCAGTGCACAAACTGTACTCCATGTCACTCCAAGAATGCTTGCTAGCTAGGTTTCAAGGTGCCCTGAACACACCACAGCATCCAAGAGAATGGAAGTAAGAGAAGCTGGTGAGCCTGAGACAGGTCTCACAGTAACTATGTTGGTCTGTACAGTAGCACTCCAGGGACTTCCTATCATCAAGCTATGGTACTATGTCAGATGACAAGAAATCAATTATCTTATCATTCTCTTGTACTGGGAGAGAGCCTGAAGAACTGGTTAGTACACAGAAATTGCAGCTACCTGACTACTCCCTCTCCTGTGTTCTGGCCTGGATTACTCACATTCCTCCATTACATCCACAGTAACCTTTGTGGGAGTCTTCCCATAATGGTTTTGGTCACTTGTCCTGGTTCCAGCAGGGACAGAGTTAATTTTCTTCCTAGCAGCTGGCATAGCACTGTGTTTTGGGTTTAGGATGAGAATAATGTTGATAACACACTGATGTTTTAGTTGTTGCCCAGCAGTCAAGGACTTTACAGCTTCTCACGCTGCCCTGCCAACGAGAAGGCTGGGGATGCGCAAGAAGCTGGGAGGGGACACAGCCAGGACAGCTGACCCAAACTGGCCAAAGGGATATTCCATACCATATGACATCATGCTCCATATATAACTGGGGGAGTTGGCTGGGAGGCAGCGTGTCTCAGGAACTAGCTGAGCATTGGTTCTGGGTGGTGAACAATTGTGCTGTGCATTACTTGGTTTTTTTCATTATTATTCTCTTCCTTTTCTGTCTTATTAAACTGTCTTTATCTCAACCCACAAGTTTTACTTTTTTCTTTTCAATTCTTTTCCCCAATCCCATTGTGAGGGGAGTGAGTGGTTGTTTTAGCTGCCTGCTGGGTTAAACCATTACATAACTGTACATTTAAATTGATTTTCATGAAAACAAAAGTAATTTTCTTATGAAAACAGCACGATAGACTAGATAGCAGAATATTAACTATGCATACCCAAAAATTACTCATTAGATTCAGCTCATGTATCTGCAGGTGCCTAGGCACCCATTATAGTCTCTGAAGAGCTGGTCAATACAGCTCACAAGGTCAAACACAGTTCACCTCACTGTGAAACAGCAGACATTTAGGTTTCACTGACTATTTTAATAGATCTCCACTGACTGTAACTGGAACAGAGAACCTCAGACGTAGGCACCCATGATCTATGTGTCTTAGCTGGAAATTTACTTGCCAAGTATTACCATGTTAGATGCCATAGGCTGCCACTGCAGTGGCATGTGTCTCCTTTACATCCTGTGTCATGCCCAACAGCCCTATGCAGATGTCCTACAGCCTCTGAAGTGGTGGAAGGCAATCATGTTTGGGCAACTGATACCTATTCTTCAAGTTAGGCAAGATGGAGTCCACTCAAAATGGCTTTTGTGTTTCAGATGAGACTAACATTGATTTGCTTTAAAAAGCAATTTCTCAGACTCAAGATTTTTTTCAAGAATCTCTTTCACTACCTCTAAGAATATATACAAAAATATAAATTAGGTGTTAGTGGACTAAATTAGAGAACACAGCTTTCAAGTTAACTGTATTATTGTACTCGTACACTTCTCACCTCTCCATTTCTAGAGAAGGTTACCTTAGGCCATTGATTTTAATAAGAGTTTGATTTTAAACTGTAAGGGATCAAGATGTGTATGGCCAAAGGTTTTTCTGTATTCTGGCAGAAATGCATTCCTTTCTGGATCTTTTTATTTTCATTCCACTTAGCATTTATCAGCCAAGCAAAATGACAATTAGGGCTGACAAAAGTTGGGTCAAGAGCAAAAGACAGAACATACGATTACAGCAGAATGAATGCATTTGAGAACCTTACTACCTAGAGAAAATGAAGCAATGTACCCCAAAAATGCTGATAAATTTGTCCTCAGGATTGCAGAAGTTCAGTAATACTTGTAGCAGTAAACTGAAAAGCCCCCTTACGGTGCAATTCTGGTTAACAAAACTCCCCAGAAAAACTCACCAAGCACGTCACTGATCATTTCCTTCTGTCAGCGAATGCAACTTCTGAGAGGCTCATGCCAAAACATAAGCCTACTCAATTTTCATATATGCCTTTTAAAATGCAAGGACTTATCTGAAATGCCATTAAAAGATGGCTACTAAGATTTTCCAATTTAAAGATTCACAATTGCATTATAAAGGCATAACTCTTGAAAAAAATTGGGTTTTTAAAACAAAACACAACTACAGTTCAGCGCCTGTTCATGGGAAAGGATGTAGTAAGAGACAGATATTTAGGATACATACTTACATATTAAACCTACTTTTTTTTTTTTACAGTCATTTTGAAGCATTCCAAAATATGTGAGAATCAAATTTATATTAAATTGAGCAAACATTACCTACCTCAACAGCTGGAACAATATCTATGCCAACTGTCAGAAATTCTTCAAACTTCAGAAATGGATTAAAGCAGCTACCAACATCAAGTAATCTGATCTTCCCCAAAGAGTGGAGCAATCTAAGAGGCAGCAAGAATACAGTTGTATCGAATGTTATTTTTGAAGCTATATTCTGAATTACAATTTCAGATAAATAATGCAAAAAATTTCTCATAGAACACCACAGTAGTGACTACGAGAAGTGAATGCCTTCAGCTGCTGAGATACCTAAAGAATGAAGCTCCATCAATAAAGCAGATGGTCCTCAAGTGGAAGAGTTTATGTTCAGAGCCGCTGTAATACTATTAATTTGTAGTAAGAAATTAAAATGGCAACTTGCATGTCCACTAGATAGGCTTTCTTTATTGCTTTGTGCTTCCCACTTACCTTTATGTGGTATTTACTGGTGTTGAAGTCACACAAGTCAGAGTTGAAGTTTCAGGAGTTTAAAAGAGAAACTGACAACACTTCATGACCTACCTACTTGTCAGTCCCATTTTAAAGGGTGTCTGAAGTCAAGTGCCATAATTAGTTTAATAAAGACAAGAGAACACATAATGGTATTATTCCAAGGGAAACAAAAATATACAAAAATGAAATACTTTATTTATTCCCTGCAAAAAAAAAAAAAAAATTTGCTTTATGTTAGCTAATATTTTTAAAACGCTGGAGGCTCACTCCAATTCTATTCTCAATGGATGCTGTGAAAGAGTTAGATCAGTTTATGCAGAGCTGGCTGCCCAGGTTGTAGGGAAGTTATTCCAAACATCTAAATGAAGTATTCCCTCAAAACTGCTTGGGAAAAAAAGTCAATTGCATGCCATGCAATCAGTTTTCTTTTGGAGTATCCAAAAGGTTTTTAATGAGAAATAGTCAAAAATAGCCGTCTGGTTTAAGAATGACAGTCCTAATCATAGCACTTCTGAAATACTCAAAAATGAAGATTTATTCCATAAGAATTCTGGAGAACATTTTAGTAAGCCAAAAAAACCCAAACCACTATCTCCTTATCTGCCATTATGTGGTTACCCTACTATTCAGGGTGAAATTATAGGCAAGAAGGCCAATGGCTGTAATGCTATATACTTAACTATGCTACCAAACAACAAAAGGTGAATGATTAAAAAAAAAGAAGGGGGATTAACTTGAGAAATCATGACTTACTGCTTGGACTGAAAGAGGCTGATAGATTGCTGAGGACACTTTAATACTTTAGTTCCAGAATGCTGCAGAGATGCAAATACTCCCTTCCAAAACATCATGGACAATGAGGGGGGGGAGAAAAACAAACCACAAAAACACACCACCAAAATCAAAACCCAAAACAATCACGCATTGAAAGACTGGCCCATGATAATCTCAGCCAAAACTTCCTGAGGTAAAAAAACTGGAAGAGCGCGAGATCAGAAAGAAAATAGCAGAATGAAGAAATGAAGAG